GATGGCGTGGGGGGGCTGGAGAGAAGAGGCTGGCGTGAGCTGGGGCTGGGTGCCGTCGCTCTGGGCTCTGCTGCAGAGTCAGGGTCCTGCTTCCCCCTCGGGAGGGAATAAACCAGCTCCGTTGTGTCCCCTTGGGGGTTCCCCCCCGCGAGCCGGGGTGTGGGAGGCCGGGTGGGCAGGAGGGTGTGCGGGTGTCCAGGGGGAGGCTGCTGGTCGCCAGCTCTCAGAAGCCCTGAGCCAGCAGCGAGATGGAGCCCCGCATCCCTCCTCCCCCCGCCCTGACAGGAGGGGCCGTGCGGGGTGATCCAGGCCCTGCATCCCTCCTTCCCTCTCCCCCAGCCAGGCCGGGGGTGTCGGCGGACGCAGGGCTGCCCTGTGGCATCTCCCGACTTGCATAAGAGCCTCGCCAGGATGATAAATGTTAAAATCTGCTGCAGGCGATCGCTGACCTAATTTCCAGCATCGCTGTGGATCTTGTCATCTGTTGCTCGCAGCCTGGGTGCAGATGGGCTGACAGGGAGCTAAGTGTGGGAGAGGGTGCGTGGGGACCCCCGGGCTGGGCTGCCCCAGCACCCCCAGTCCCGTGGGGACCCGGTGCCCCGGGCTGGGGGTGCTGGGGCAGCGTGGGGTGGGCTGTGACCCCACTGCAGCCTCCTGTGCCCAAACTGGGACAAACAAGGTAGTTGGGGTCCAGCTCAGCTTCGGTCCCTGCAGATTTCTGCTAAGCAGAAAACAAATGCTAATTACACAGCATAATTAGCGAGGTGCTGCATCTATTTTTAATCAGCTTTGAAAAATATATTCTTCCTTCTGCTCTGTGCTCACCGGCAGCCTCTCCCATGGCGGTGGTGCTTGGTCGGGGACCCTCCGGGGGGAAATGAGTTGCTATTCCCCTCTGCGCCCTCCCGGGATCCCCCGCCAGAGGAACAGCCCCCCCCCACTCCTTGGTGGAGTCTGAGCCCCCACTGAGATCCCACCCCTCCATCATCCATCAGGGGCGGAGGGAAAGGATGGAGGAGATCGGCTCAGCTCTGTCAAGGTGGCGTTCAGCAGCAGTTGGGAAAATCGCAGGAGGAGGAGCCTGGGAAAAGGTTGCAAAAATATTCTGAGAAGGCAAAACGGGGGGGGGCAGCCCCGCTGAGCCCGAGCTGTGGAGATGGTCTGTTCAGTGAGCAGTGCCGGCGTGTCCCCGCTTCAGTCACCCCGTGCAAACAGCCCTCCCTGACCACCCCGCTCCCTCCTCGCCCCATCCGAGCCAGCGGGGTGGCGGGTGCCTCCCTTCTGCTGCTCCGAGCAATCTCCCTGCCGAGCCGGCCCGGGCGCTGCCGCTGACCCGTGTCCGTGGGACAACAGCGCTGCCCTTCCCCGCTGCTCCCCCCCAGCCCCACAGGGGCAGCCGGATCCCGCCAGGATGGGGCCAGCGGGCTCGGGGCCGGTGGCCGAGGTGGTCCCAGCTCTCTGCACGTGCCACCACGTGGGACATCGTGATGCTCGTGCAGCAAAACCTCCCCACGTGTCCCCCGCCAGGTCCTCACCCTGCCGGGGTCTGTGATTGTCACCAGCTCAACCCCGTGGTGCTGGAGGGGGCTTTAAAGGTGGGAAGGGGCAGTGCTGGGGCTTGTCTCTGCCCTTGAGACCAAGGGGGCTCTGGTTTAGGGGGTGCTGGTGTGGGGGCAGCAGGTCAGGTGTGCAGGGCTGGAGGGGCTTGCTGGGGGGCTGTGCCGTGGAGCCAGGCAGCGCACCCCATCGAAGAGCTCGGGGCTGCCGTGGGGTCCGCGGGATGCTGCGGGGCTGCGGGACCTCCCCAGGGCCCCTCAGCACCGCACGGGTTTGAGTAAATCCTGCAGCCACCCAGAGCCTCCTTAAACTGCAGCATCTGGGCTACCAACGGGAGCCTTTTCCATTGACTCGCCTGCTGCAAGCCCCCGCCGGACCCCCAGGGCCTGGGGAGCCGAGCGAGCTCCCACTCCTCCCTTGCCTCTGCTGCCCCAGTTTCCCTGCGAGGAGGCTGCAGCGAGCTGGTGCTCCCCAGACACGCGCCGCTCCTCGTCATTCCACTGGGGTTGGGCGGCGTGAAACGGCGTTTGCTCTCCCGGGGCCACCGGGGCTTGTGGTGGGGACAGGCCACTGTCCCGCCGGCGTGGATGTCGCCCCGGGCTGTGGGGGTGACACCCCGGCTGCGGCTCTGCCGGGACCTCGCAGCCCGAGCGCTGGGAGGCCTCGGGGAGGTTCTGCAGCCCGGGTGAGGCCTGAGCTGCCGTGGCGGTGCCGGGAGCCGTGGCTGGGGGTGCCCTGGGGGAGGCTTCACAGGTTCATTACTGTAGGGACAGCCTCTGCGGGGCCCTGGACAAGCTGGTGTCTGCCCAGAGGCTCGTCTCCCTCTGCTGAACAGATTTCACATCCCTCCAGCCCCCGGGCTGGGGCTGTGCTCGGTGCCTGCCCGCATGGCTGGCTCCGCTTCGGCAGGGCCCTGGGCACGTCTGGCTGCGTGTCCCGGGGGAGGAAGGGCTGGAGGAAGCCCCTTCCTCAGCTGGGCCGGGAAAGGGCGCCCGGGCGGCGCCGCAGCATGTGGAGGTGTGGGGAGACCCCTGAGCAGCGTCCGAGCCTGTGACCGGAATGGTCCCTTGGCCTTGACTTTGTGCCCGGGGTCACATCTGGGCGCCTGCGGTGACCCAGCCGGTCCCCGTGGGCTCGGCCGCAGCACCCACAGCTGGCCCCGAGCCCACCCCTGGGGCAGCCCCCCACAGCGGTCTGGGTGCTGCTGCCTGAGCCCCGCTTGCTGCTCCCGGTGCTTCCCCGCGGGTCGTGCTGGGGAGGATGCTTCAGGCTGTACGCCCCCCTCTCCCCCCCTCATCTCCGATTTTTGGGAAATGAAAAGTGTTTTCTGTAGCCATGTGCCAACATTTCTATCGGTGTCCGGCCCAGGCTCAGCGCTGAGCCTCCCCCCCGCCGCTCCGGGGGGGCTTTTCCCACCGTGTCTCGTATATTTTTCACTCAGGGCCTCACGGAGCAGCGTGCTCCCGGGCCGGCACACGGCATGACACGCTCGCTACTAATTAATCTAACGGCATGTTATTAAGGGCCTCGCACGCCTTTGGCGCTGCATATTAATGACGCTCAGGCCGCAGTGCTGCAGCCATCGCTCGCAGGCAGCCCTTCCCCTGCGGGGCGGGGGGGTGTGTGTGCCCCCAGGCCCTCCTGTGCGGGGCAGGGATGCAGGAGAGGCCATCTCGGGACATGCAGTCCCTCTGGTTTTCACGGGTGTTTTGCTATAAATTGAGCCGATTTAATTTTTCGTTTAGTCCATC